AGTTGCACTTGATTTAGAATGGTGATTTTTACATCATGCCTCTTGCTTGTTACCACCTAACAAAAGAGGAAAAGACAAAAGTGTGTGATTTCTTAATTTCTATCAAATTTTCGGATGGTTTTGCTTCAAATATATATCGATGCATAAAGAATAGGCAATTTCCAATTTTCCGGAATGAAGAGCCATGACTTTTACATTTTCATTCAACAAATACTCCCACTTGCACTTCGTGGAAGTTTAACTAAAGAAGTTTGACAAGTGCTGTTTGAATAAAGTGATTTGATTAAAAAATTGTATGCTAGAACATTGCATAGGGATGTACTACAGGAGTGTGATAGAAAAATTCCGGTGATTATTTGCAAATTAGAGAGATTATTCCCCCTTGTCTTCTTCGACATAATGCTACACGTGCTAGTTCACTTACCTGCCGAAGCAATTCTTGTTGACCCAACTCAATATTATTAGATGTTCCCATTTGAGAGGTATGCCATCGTACATAGTGTCTTTTTGTTAGTCAATTATTATAATCTATCTCACTTACTCCAATGAGATACTGATATTTCCTATTTTTATTAAAAAAAAGAAAATGGGAATACTTAAAAGTTATGTTCAGAATAAGGCTCGCCCAGAGGAATGTATTATCGAGCGGTACATAGACAAATAATGCTTGACATTCTGCTCTATGTATTTGGATAATGTCGAGACAATATTCAACAAGCCCGAGCGTAACAATGAAAGAGTTGACAAGCATGGGTAGCTATCAATATTTTCATGCTCTGCTCGTCCATTTGGAGGGTCTAAACATCGATATTTACTTGATTCAGAGCTAGCAAAGATCCACACCTTTTTGCTAAATAACTATGGTGAGCTTGATGACTACATCAAGTAATATACTAGTCTTAATTGCACTTATATTTTATGACTGTGACTCACCTGTAAAATTATGCTAGCATATTTTTTTTCCAGTGAGTATAAAACCTTGTTAGAAGCTGAATATATTGAAAATGTTATTCAACGGCATGATAAGGAGTTTGCCACATGGTTCAAAGAACATGTAGGGTCTAATTTACTGATTAGTTATTTGGACTTCTTATGACTATAGTTTAAATAATATATCATGTTAACTTTTCTCAATCTCTGAACAAGTGTTATATGGTTCTCAACCCTGCAATGATGAATTTCACTTATTGGCCTTAGATTTAGACAATAGAATTGATATGTATACAGGTTGCATGGCTAATAGGTATAAATTTCACACTGAAGATCGTGAAAGAGAGAGAAAAATACAAAATAGTAGCATCATAGTGAAAGGTGAGCATGGTAATAATACCATTGATTTTTATAGTGTCATAAAAGAAATTATTGAAGTGAGGCGCTAATTTAGAAAGAAAAATGTTGTCCTATTTAAATGACTGGTGAAAACTAGATGATAGTTCTGGCATGCAAATAGACAAGGATTGGGGTATCACAAGTATGAATTCATCAAGAAGATGGTATGAAAACCAATCTTATATCCTTCCTCAACATATGGAACAAGTATTTTATATTCAGGACCTGAAATTAGGTAGAAACTGGTTTGTAGTTTAGAGGTTCGGTCCTATTATGATGTTCCTGAACATGTGGACAAAGACGCAGTAGTTGTGAAGATATATCAAGAGGAAACATAAGGGGGGAATTTAATATTATAATAGATCTCGATAACCCCCCACCAATTTCAAGAGAAGATTGCAATCTCTTAAAGTGTGTGCCTTCATTCGTTATTCATGGTGACCAATCAAAGAAAGGAAATCAACAAGTTGAAGAAGACTTTATTGATGACACTGACAATGGGGACCCCAACAGTTGTGATAATGAAGAATATGAGGATATTCTTAGTGACAGTGACACTGATTCATATTAGATAACATCGATTCAATATTTGAATCTAATGGTTGTTGATATCCCGAGTACAACTTCTAATTTAATTGTATTGCTTATGTCATCTTGTTTGATTTATCTTTTGCCTATTAAAATACATAAAAATGATATATTTAGACAACATTGAATTGGTTAGTTGTTGGTTTGAGATGGCTAGACCTAGAACGAGGGCCCAAACACTTAAAAGACAAGCACAGCAAAAGCAACCATCACCACCTTCAAATTAGCAACAGGGCCTATCTGCAAATACTAACTCAAATGGCATTGCTACCTTTGTGACGCCAGCATCTTCACCACAAAATGTTACTGCTGGTTCAAACAATGCGCGGCCTCAAACTTCAAAATCATTTGCATCAGATGCAAATGAGACTGTGCGATCTCATGATGGTAAAAATGATAATAGTGGTACAAACTTCTGCACTTTCATTTCTAGTTCTTTTATTTTGTTTCAACTATTATAGCTAATTTATTCTTGAATTTTGTTTAACCATAGCTATGCCATTACCAAAAAGAAGGAGTCGTACTAGAAACATTACATTGGCCTGCAAACGAGAGGATAATGAAACTCTAACTATTGAAGTTGACCCTTCCATTCGGCGCATAGTAGGAAAGGACTTTCAATACTTCATTAGTGAGAGTGGATGTATTGTGAGGAAGTTTGGAAGGCTTAATGTTGACAAATGGTCACATCTGCAGGCTAAATATAGAGACAACTTATACAAGACAGTTACGGTATTTGTATTCTTTTGCTTATATCACTACTAGAACAAATTATTTGATCTTTATACTTAAGCAATATTCTTATGTACTTCTATTTAAATTTTTTATTTAAATTTTTCAGTACTTGTATTTGTCTTGTAGGATGACTTCCAATTTGAGAATAACATCGCCTCAAAAACTGCTATAAATAGGCAGTTGAACATCTTGTATCGGAATCACCGATATCGGTTGCACAAGTATTTTCTAACTTTTGAAACAAATGCCAAAAGGGTTATGTGTAGACATTTGTAAAGAAATGGCAAAATTTTGGTGGGGTATAGGGATGATATTAGGAAGATTCATTGGATGGAGTGGAGGAAGTTATCTGAGGTTAAAGGGATGGAGAGTTGGGTTTTAGAGATCTCCAGCAATTCAATACAGCAATGCTTGCAAAGCAATTATGGAGGATCTTGACAAGGCCAAATCTGTTAGTCAGTAGGATTGTTAGGGGAAGTATTTTAGAGGATCTTCCATTTGGAAAATGAACATCAATGCTGGGGATTCTTGGGTTTGGAAAAGTATTCTAAGTGCAAGGGAGCTGTTGGAAGAAGGGGTAAGGTTGAGAGTGGGGGATGGCAAGCAGATTGATATATGGGAGGATAAGTGGCTTTTAGATCAAAAGAATGGGAAAATCAGATCATGCAAATCTCAATAGTGTCATGTACAAAGTGTTCATGAACTAATTTCTGATGGGAATTGGAATATGGATTTACTTAGAGAAGTTTTGAGGAGGAGGATTGTCAAAGAATAATTGATATTCCAATTAGTAAGTATGGTGGTAAGGACAGGCTAATATGGAGTTTCTCTAAATCAGGGGAGTACACTGTGAAGGCTGGCTATGCGGTGGCTAAAGAGTTGCAGAGGAAAAAAGGAGGGAATGCCAGCAACAGGGGAATAGTAGTAGGAATGAAGCTAAGTCAGGGTGTGGAAATTGTTATGGGGCTTGAACGTAAAACACAAGCTGAAACACTTTGTATGGAAATGTCTTTAGAGAATCTTGCCAGTGAATGAAACAATTAGGAGAAGGATTGGACAAGGAAATGATAGGTGTTGCTGCTGTAGAGAAGGGACAGAAACTCTTGAGCATATGTTCTTTTTCTGTAAGCATGCGGAACTGATTTGGAAGGCTGCTCCAATTAGTTAGGAGGGCTGAATGAATACAGATATAGCTTCTGGCATTGGTGGGCAGTCTGATGGAAGCACTGGCTAGAAAGGAGGGGAGGGAACACATTGAGCTAACCATTAATGTGCTTTGGCAGATTTGGAAGTCCAGGAATTCGATTCAATTTAATAGGGAGGGGAGACGTCCAGGCATGGCAATTAATAAGGCTGCTCAGGAATGGCTAGAATTCCAGAAGTTTTCCACAGTGAAGATTGAGGATGAAGAAAGGGGTAGGGGAGTTGAAAAAGGATCTGTGAGATGGGAGCCACCTCCAGAAAATGTTATATGCTTAAATACTGATGCAGCTATCAAACAAATTGGTGCAAAAGCAAGTTGGGGAGTTGTGGCTAGATGCATGGAAGGGAAGTTAAGAGGAGCTTGGGCTGGGTGTGAAGACAGGAGGGTGTTCCAATTGTTGAGGAGGCAAGAGCAATCCGGAAAGCTCTAGTTTTGGCCAAGAAGAATGGTTGGAGGAACATTATTATTCAGTCTGATTGCAAGAGAATCGTGGATCAGATCAGAGACGGAAAGTTGAATGACCATTTAGCAGGTGCTGTCCTTTTTGATATTATTGCACTTAGCAAGGACTTTAGTTCTTGCCTATTCTCGTTTGTCAAAAGAGAAGGGAATAATGTATCCCATCAGTTGGCAAAGTTTGCCTTAAAGTTAGTTTCTGAGATTGCTTGGAAGGAGTCTTTTCCAAGTTGGCTAATTAGTATAAGCCAAAAAGGATGTAGGGCCTTTCCTCCAAACTTCGGATTTTCTATGTTCAAGTAATGAAATCTTTTATCGTTTGGAAAAAAAATTCCAACTTAATAATGCTCATTGTCTATTACAAAGTCAGAGAATGAGAAATTTTTCTCACATGAACAGACATCAATTAAACATGCAAGGTCCAGTTGACAAAGGCCCTAATCAATGATCAAACACCTTTATTTCTACTAAAATCTCAGCACAAATTCTTCAGATCATCAACAATGAACTATCAGTACAATACAGTGTAGGAGCAGACTTCATCATTAGTTTATGTCCAGAACACTTGCTCCAAAATCATCAAGCACACCACATGCATGTCAAAATCAACCACAATAGACATGACCTCTGATTCATCTTCATTAGACAATGAACACCCACAAATGAGGATTAACCTTTAGCCTACTTTTACAAGCAATCTAACACCTATATCTTGGCCACATGCTACTGTGAAGGCCTTCAATGGTAATATGACAAGTATTAAGATGATCAACAAGATACGGTACTTAAAAAACTTCTAAATAAGCACAATAAATTAAAACAATTTGATCTTTTACCTATAGTGATGTTGATGGAGCTGAAATAGCTATATATCATGCACATTTTTGCCCAAATTCTTCACCGGATGAAGGATCACCAACTAGAGGAAGCTTTGGTTTCTTGAGTCCATTCCTTTCAAAAGTAGTTTGGTTTCTCTTGGTACTGCGTAACCAATTGGCACCTCAAGTTCTTATATCACCCGCAAATGGCGCCAAGAATTATTAAAAAAATTTAATTGATGCAATTTCATTTTCTCATTTATTAGCAGAAAATGTACAACTTTTTTCAGGGCAATTTAGTCATTTGGAAGTTATTGATGGTGACATTTGGTCACATCCATCTGAAAAATGAGGGGAGTATAATTTTAATATTAGAGGGTATTTAAGTGTAATTGTCAGAAACCTTGAAGGAGGTTTCTGAAATTATTCTTTTTTATCATTAGCACTTCCCCTGTTTCGTTTTGCCCATAGAGATTTACATGCACTCAAATTCAAGATTACAATATTATTCATAGGCTGGTTTTTGTGGAAACATCAAAATTGGTCTAAAGCTATTATCTTTGGCTTACTAGCGGCTCTTATTTGTAAGGGTGGGCAAAAATACCGGTTAATCAGAAGATTCGTTATATTCGATTCGATCTAAAAATTAGGATATTCGATCCGTATTATTGATCGGATCAAAAAAGGATCAGATATCCGCTTTGATGTGGGAGAGCTAGAATCACATAATTAAAAACATACAAATGAAAATTAGGATACCTTGAGAGTTTCATCATCTTCTTGTGGGCAGATGAGGACCATTTCTTTGGCATTATTGTTCCTGAAGCATGTATGGACATCTTCTGTAACATGGCCCCATGCTGCAAAAGATATCTTACGATCTCAAACTCGTGTTGCTACCAAGAGAAATTTTTTATTTCAACTTCCCTAAGGCGTTGACTTAATCACAGTGGTTTCTCTTTAGCACCAGGGTAAAGGTCTATGATAGGGATTCTTTCATCTTCACCCTGCTTTAAAAGAAAAAGAAAAAACAAAGAGAAAACTTGACAATCAAATCTACGGCTTTGTCTCTTAATCAGTCTAAAAAAGAAAAGCCACAACCATCATATCTTTTCCTTTCGAAGAATCTTAGTTCAAATCCTAACTCACCATGTAACAAACTAGCATTTCCAAATGTGGTGCACTCTTTTAGTAGAATCTCTTAATTTTCCCAAGTATCTACTCTACACCTACTCTAATCTGTTAGCAGAGGGCCAATTGGATTTACAGGAGAATCGACTGAGACTGAACTACTATCAAAACAGATTGTGCACTACGTATCCGTATGGATTTAGAGAAAATCACCTAAAATGACAAGTCACGTACAGTGGGAGATAAAATTTAAACTTTTGACCTCCAACCATACCAAACCTTAAAAGGCTTTGGTTATGGCCAACAACCCAAATGATTGATGGTTAGGTAACAAATTATCGGACTACTAGACAGAAACTTCACGTCATAGGGAAAGCAAAGGTCATTCAACACTTCAATAAATTTGTACCATAAGCTATGAAATCCTGAAAGTGCCAGTGAATTAAAGATATCCAAAGTCAAAAGACATTACCTCCAAAGAAATCCCAGATAAACGAAGAGATTTTATCTATTGGACATTTCATTACTAAGTTGGCAAAACTTGTTCCCAAATTCCAAAGACATATTAGCTTTTACCAAAGACTTGAGCTTGCACTCCGAGCGATTACAGGAATTGCATCACATATATGCGAATACTCAAAGACTGGGGGTATTAAGAGCAAGCCTATCGGATTCCGACATGTATGCCACACTTGTCGGGGAGGGAAACCACAAGCCCTAGTTCCGGTGATAGTGAAAGTGGTGTTTCTTCAAATTTAGGGAGAGGGGAAAGGACTTGAAGTTAATTGTATTTGGATTTGTGAATTTTTTTTAAAAAATATTTATTATTTACACATTTTTCAATTAACTTTTTTTTTACAAATTTTCTTAACAATTTTTCGTCTACATATGTCACATTACAAAAACTATTATAACAATTATTTCAAAAAATTTTTGTAATAATAATTAAAAATCAAACACTATAAATCTATTTCTTTCTCTTTCTTTTCTAGTCTTTTTTTCTTTTCAAATTTGTAGATGTCATAAACTCCTTTTAGCCAATTAAATAGGCTTACGTTTTTTTTCTCACTAATGTAAGTTAATTAAGTTAAAGTAATACTTTTTTCATATATCCCTACACGAATATTAATTGACTCGTATTACTCCATTAAAACTAGATGGCTTTCATAACTAACTAATTTTTGGAACCAATCACTTTTTTACTTCACTGATGCAAGGTCAAGCCAATCAAAGTTGCACAGTTTACTAAAATGAGATGCGAATCGTCTTTTAGTTTCTTATTCATGGTTCAAGAAAACATGACAATATTCATTCATGGTATAATAATAGAGGATGGTATGAATTACTTATGTTGAATATGGTTATAGAATATTTAACTCGATATCTCAGAAGATCAAACGTCTATTTGTGATATTATATATTTTTTAACTAGAATAATTAATTAATAGAGTATAGTATTCATTGATAAAAATGTATAGGAATAATTTTAGAAACCTCCCTAAGGTTTTTAACTATTTCACTTAGTTCCCTTGAAATTTTAAAGATTGCACTTTCCTTCCTTGAATTGACACTTTGGTAATCAAATCTTGAAATAGGGTCAAAATTTTAATAAATACCCTAAAATGCCATTATCTTATAAAATTTAATGTATTCTTCTAAACAATTGAAAAGTAAGTTGACACAATTATATATCTATATATATATATATATATATATATATATATACATATATAAAGGGTCTCAAGCTTCTCATGCCAATATTTGTTATTTGATTATCAACTATAACAATAAATCTTTTGTTATAATAGTTTACTTTTTGTATAGTGCTTTATTGGGGATATAAATTCTTTCTGAGATAAAGAAGAAAGTGTTATCCATTTTTTTAAGTTTATAGATTATTTTTTAAATAAAAGTTTATGGACTAGTTTAGTGATAGAACTGCCAAAAATTAAAAAATTAAATGTACACAATTTTCTTCTTCCATCTATGACCCCCACCCACCACTGCCACCACCCCCTCTTTCCTCATCTCTCTTTTCTCTCACTACAAGAAATTTGGCCTAACAACAAAGAAACTTGTCACAGTTGAGAAACTTTAGTGACGAGTTTTAATGTCGTCATAGTTGATTATGGATTCACCGTCAACAGTGACAACATAGGATAAGTCGTCACAATATGGAGGGCGCGCAACTAGCCAGTGTAGCGGGAGATCACCATTGTGATGACTGGAAAATAGGTCGTCACTAAAATTTGTCCTATAGTGATAACTTAGAATATCATCACAATATGGTTGTTAGTTCTAAATTAGTGACAACAACTAGTCGTCACAGTCCAAAGTGTTTATTCCACTCACTTTCACTAATTCTACTATGCCCCTAATTTTTTTAATATGGCACATATGTTGTAAATAAATTTATTAATTCTACTATGACACCCTAAAATTTTACAATTCAACCCCATATACCACCTTAATTTTTTCAATATGGCCATATGTTGTAAATAAATTTTATTAATTCTACTATATGACACCCTAACTATTACATTTTAGCCCCATATGCCACCCTAATTTTTTCTATATGGCCCATATATGCGGTAAATAAATCTAATTAATTATGTTATGACACCCAAACTTTTATATTTTAGCTTTGTATGTGGTAAACTAATCTCATTAACTCTACCATAACATCTTATCTTTTGCAATTTAACTCGTATATGATAAACCGATTTCATTAATTCTATTATGGCACCCTATGCTTTACACTTTAGTTGTGTTTATCATTGGCAAAATGAGGAAGGTATTGTAAAAAAAATGTATACCTATATTTTAATTATTCCAAACTCAGCCAACCTTGTTATAAAGTTAAAAAATATCATGAATTCATTATTTAGTTCTCTTGACAACAGATGGGAAATTACTAATTAACATAGCGTGAAAATAATGGCAACGAATAATAAAATTTAATATAAAATTAAGTAAAAATCTTGACAATTGCATGATTGGAGTTTGTTACGTATTACAATTTACAATAATCAAATTGTTTATGGTTTATGAATCAGTACTTGTATCAAATAGATTTAGTGTTTCATACATGTATTATTAACCCATTTTGGTTATTTGATCAACTAAACAGATTGTTTGGTCTTGTCAAATCACAATTCATGCATAATTGATAAAATTATTAAATTGATGCCAAAAATATTTGCATTAAAAGATCTTTTTTTGAATCATAAACATATTTTTAATAAGTCTTTTAGTTTTTGAACATTATTTTTTGTAGAGATCCTAAAAAACCTATGTTAGGAAAAAAGAAAAAATCCAAAAATACTAAATTTTCATATTCCAAAGTTTTAATACAACCCGTGAACTAAAAAAGCTCAAAATAATAAACAATGTTAATTACACAAAGATTGGGAAAAGAAAAAAAGATAGAAGGCGTTACTTTTATAAAATAGGTTCAACAATTTAGAGAGAGAAGGCATTATTTTTTAGTGTGCAATAGCGGAAGTAGGAAGCTGAAAATTGAAGGAGTAGAGACGAGGTTCTAAAAGAAGCAGAAATGACGTCATTTGAAGTTGATTTGGAAGAAAAACACTCAACAACACTTATCCAAATTTCAGACAAAACTCATTTCCCTCTTTCTTTGCCTTCGACACGATTTCTCTTCTCCTTCTCTCCATTGGGATCTTGCTAAATTTACTGAGATAATCACTAAATTGAGCTACCCAAACTGATAGGGCAACTTTAGTAGAGTAGCAGATAGCAAATATCCCTAAATTGAGCCACCATTTGCATCCCTCAATTGAGCTACCCAAACTGATAGGGTAGCTTTAGTAGAGTAGCAGATAGGAAATATCCCTAAATTGAGCCACCATTTGCATCCTTAAATTGAGCTACCCAAACTGATAGGGCAGCTTTAGTAGAGTAGCAAATAACAAATATCCCTAGTTCGTCATAGTTGCTTGCTGGCAAGACCACGGAAAATTGACCATGAATTTTGGGGAAAAGCCAGAGTTTGAAGACTGAATCATAAGGAAGCTGAAGACCTAAGGTTGTCACGGCATAATTTGAGGTAAATAATCTCAATATTTTCCATCTATTTTCTAACATTTTTGTCTAATATAGGTCGTGTGAGCTGAATGTTGAGTTGTGAGAGTGAAATGAAGTGGGAAGGAGGGTTGCAAGCTGAATGTTGAGCTGAATCGTGGTAGAGATCCAGATTGAGTCTTGCATGGAAATGCAGTCACTACTAAGATACTGGAAGACAAACAAGTTAAATCTAAGCATACGGGTAACAAAACTTAAACCTCTTAATAGTTTATTTAAATTTGTACCCTCTTAAAAAAGTCCAAAACAGAGTTTCCATAATCTTTTTGGCTGCACCCTATCTCCGGCCGCATGGCATGTTGGAGCAGGTTATTTGCTTATATAGCAAGTTGAATAAAAGATTCTGTTGCGTGGCTAGACATGCTGCAACATGTGGTACTGCTTAGATGCAAAAGAAAGATAGTCTTCAATAATCTAACCAAGATGATTGAAACTTTGAAAAGTACTTGATGGTAATTCCCTAGAAAAAACTCCAAAAATACTTTAAAAATGTAATCCCTCTAGAAGAAACTTTAAAAGGTAGTTTTGTGTAATGATCAGAGTTCTAGAACCAAAGGGATAGTTCTGAACTGAGACAGGCATTCCTGGTTATATTCACCAGCTTAGGCCACAATCTATCCAATTTTGCTCCCACTCTCGACAACCTTTCCCATCACACTATCACCCCAATAGCACATTTGCAAAACAGTTAGGAAACAAGCTAAATGCATGGTAGAACACATAGCTAGCTATTTCCTGAATCTTAGAAGCTTTATGCATGTAGTTCGTTCTTTTTCTCGACCTTCTGTGCAACTGATTTTGTTTCTGATGGTAACATATCTACTCCCATTAAATAGGTTGTTACACTTGGTGCATTATATTTGGTGTTCTGTTTTTTGTATATTTCTTAACTAATCAGTTTTTTCATTGGAGCCTCAGTTGAAAACTGGTTCACAACTTTTTCATTGCCATTGTTGCAGCTGCTTTACACTGGACTCAAGAGACAATTAGACCCATTTTTACCTCTGTTCTTCTAATTTTTCATTACTTGTCAGGTAACTTCTTTAAACTATGTTTTAATAGATTGTTTTTGACTTGTCAGTCTCTCTTCTAAAGGATGCAACTGCAACAACACTAACAGATTTGCAGTTGCTGCCATTTTGCAGTTCCATTCCTTATTCCTTCAAAATGAAATTCATGGATGATTGTCTAAACTAGCAAAAGTGTGTGTTTAACATATAATCTGGAAAAAACACAGAGAAGTAGAGATTTTCTTGCTTATATGAACACCTGATTACTTGAAGCATGTAAATTGTTTCAGTACAGTGAAGCATGTAATTTACTCTTCTATCTCATGCCTACTTATGCACATTAGGAATTGCACTTATATCTTTATAGATTCACCTCAAGAAATCTATTGTTTCATAACTAGCTTATGTATGCTTATTTCTGGTTGTAATGTGTAGCATAAAATTTGTGACTTATGTTCTAGATTTGTAACTCTAGGACATGGACAAAAATTGGATGAAACCTGATAATCGAAAGGACGAGTCTTAT